CTTCAGAGTTCTTTATATATTCCTTTGCTTGAGTCCAGTATTTAATTATCTATATACAATACATTTTAAGGTACGGGAACAATGGGTCTCAATATCGTACATAAACTTTCTCTGGCTGACAAATGTTCTTCCAGTGTTTTAAACATTTACCTTTGCAGCCAAAATACTTCTCAGTAGATACACTTTGGTCCCTAAAGTTGAGGAGTTAAATCACTGTGATGGGAACTACTGTTGTGTGAAGTTAGATGATAGTGAAGGGAGGATGGGAACCATGCTAGGAGAGGGAGAGAGCAGGGAGCAGCGACACCCCTCTTCTCTCCAGCACGGCGCCAGGCACACTGACCTAGGTAGCTCATGTGAACAGGTAAAACATCTTACACTACTGCCGTGTGTGTGTGTGTGTGTGTGTGTGTGTGTGTGTGTGTGTGTGTGTGTGTGTGTGTGTGTGTGTGTGTTTGTGTTTGTGTGTGTGTGTGTGTATGTGTACGTACTCATCTATTTGTGGTTGCAGGGTTCGAGTCACAGCTATTGGCCCTGCCTCTTCGTTGGTCGCTACTAGGTCACTCTTCCTGCTCCATGAGCTTTATCATACCTCTTCTTAAAGGTATGTATGCATCCTGCCTCCACTACATCACTTTCCAGGCTGTTCCACTTTCTGACAACTCTATGACTGATGAAATACTTCCTAACGTCACTGTGACTCAGTCTTCAACTTCCAGTTGTGACCACTTATTGCTGTGTCCCTATCCATCTTGTCAATTCCTCTCAGTATCTTATATGTTGTTATCATATCCCCCTATCTCTCCTGTCCTCCAGTGTCGTCAGGTTGATTTCCCTTAACCTCTCCACGTAGGACACAGCCCTCAGCTCCGGGTGTGATGTTCACCTCAAGATCGTTCTCCTTGCTCATTATTTATAGTTTCTTGCTTCTCAGTCTATATCCCTCTGTCTTCGCTCTTCTCTCACCAACCACAACTTTTATGTCCTTACTATGTTTGGGTTGAACTCCAACAACCACTTGTTTGACCACTCTTCCAGCCTGTCTCCATTCTCTCACGTTTTCATTCTTCTCAATAGTTTCTCGTCAGAAAATAATGTTGGATAAGATTCAGTTCCATATCCTCATACCATTTTCTATTCGCTTTGTATTCTTTGAGTCACTGTAGTTCTTTTCTTACCTAGAATCCCCGTTTGCTAATCCAACTCGTGAATCAAAATCTAGTGGAGGAGTTTTAAACGTTTTACAAGAAATTCCAGTCGACCCATGCTAGTTTTAATTTTTAACATTGTCCCCCAATCTCTAGGTTATCAGTCATCTTCTTCCTAATTATCTTTTCTAGTAAGCGTCTGTTTTCCTGCTTGTATATTGAAAGCATTTTTTTCAGTTTTGCAGCTGTTGGGTCTTTTTCCCGTTTATTGACAAGTCGTGGAGCTGTATAAGAAGCTGACATAATTCTTCCACTCCTTTCAGTTTCCTTGATGATGTGCTGGTTGGCCATACAGCTGCTGTCTCCAACTCTTTGTGCGCGTGTGTGTGTACTCACCTAGTTGTACTCACCTAGTTGTGGTTGCAGGGGTCGAGTTCTAGCTCCTGGCCCCGCCTCTTCACTGGTCGCTACTAGGTCACTCTCCCCGAACCTTGAGCTTTATCATACCTGTGTGTGTGTGTGTGTGTGTGTGTGTGTGTGTGTGTGTGTGTTGTGTTTGTGTGTGTGTGTGTGTCTGTGTGTGTGTGTTCACTCTTTGCTGAGAGAGAAATCACTACCTATCCTCTTCCTTCCTGTCGCTCTGCCACCAATTTCCTCTCTCTCCTCCATTCTGACCCAAAATCGATGAAGGAGTGAAGATGGTAGAGGTGAAGATAGGGTGACGGTGATGAGGGTGAAGATGTTGAGGGAGAAGATTATGGAGGGGGTAACGATGTTAGGAGAGATGATGGTAAGAGAGAAGATGGTAAGGGCCTGGGAAGGTTAGTGTATTCAGTGTCCCTGGAACAGGGATATCTAGTCATTGTCAGTCTGCTTTGTTGTCGAGGGATAACTAGAGAATACCTCTTTTGAGCGGCTTTGAGGGTTCTGAGGTAAGGATACCAGGCCTCTTGCCTGCGTTGTTATAGAAGGCTGGACCATGGGACACTGGGGGATACCTCTTTTGGATCATTGAAGTCAAGGGGACTGGGATATGAAATACTGGGGATACCACTTTGGAATCACTGAAGTCTTTTCATCCTAACAAGAGGTGACATGATTGCGACGTACAAAATACTCAAGAGAACTTGACAGGGTGGACAGGGAGAGTGTTTGAGAGGCGGGTCTCAGGTACACGAGGTCACCGCTGGAAGTTAAAATCATAGATTAGGTTAGGTAAGATTCGTCAGGAAACAGGAAAAATGTTTCCTGACGCGGGTCTTAGTCAGATAACCCACCATTGTAGCTTTTGGTCATCTGACCGAGGCCTTCCGCTAGCTTACCGGTCCAACTCTAAAAATTTTGGTCCTAGTTATAACCATATTTATTATTCACAAATGAGTCACATAGATGTCAGGAAATATCTATCGTATTTGTCATCAGGAGAAATCAATTATCATCAGCCAGTAATCACAAGAGTTCCCGAGGAGGGACTAGCATGTGATGGAGCATATCCACCACTCCATTATTATTTAAAAATCAGTCATACATGTTTATAGGCCTGGCTGAGATGTATGGTTCACATGCCCCAACCCTTTTGGGGCCTAGTTCATAGGTCTTTTGCGTATCTATACGCGCTTGCCCTACCGTCCACAGGATGGATTTGATCCGTGGAATTAACTAGCCACTTTGACGGCAAAATCTCAGATCTTAGCCTCACTAGGTGACATGAAATTATAAACAGTGTATATTATATAGGACCTTTTGCCGTATAGCGTGTAGACAATAGAGGGTCTGCATGGGAAGCAGCAGAAGTGAAAACGAATAATCATATGACGTTGCCGAATTATCATGTGATGTTGCTAAAGTATCATGTGATAATTCAGCAGCTTCTGACACGTCACTGAACACTTAGAAGTTTCAATACGGAGCACCAGGAAGGGGAAACAGATACGGTCGATTTTCATATTAAGAACTAGAAGAATACAAGTCACCATGCACAAGTAACCCCCATAGAGAATCAGTCTCTAGGCAACGTTTCGGTCTGCCTGGCCCGTGGTCACACGATAATAGTTAAGGATGGACCGAAACGACTTCTAAACATATATATCCAGCTACTATGTACACACTATGTTGGTAGATCACTAAGACAGGATATGTAAACTTGAATGGCTCTACTGTCCATAGCTGTTAAGCTCAACTTTGCGAGAAAACATTTCGATACATTCCATACCACGGGCGGGGTTAGAACCCGCGACCAGAGAGTCTCAAAACTCCAGACCGTCGCGGGTTCTAACCCTGCCCGTGGTATGGTTTCTTTGCAATCGTGTCATTACGATGTCGTTAATCATTTCGATACATCATAAAAAATCCTAACTAGCAAGCACAAATCACACACAATATCCTTGTGAATTATATTCTTAAAAAAAAAAAAAACGCTTGATAATGCCCTAGGTCAAAGCATACAGTAGTAAATACATAAGCGAGGAACTTTCTATACGGTTTCCAGCGAGAAAAATATACCCATGAGTGTCGTGAGGGAGACAGTACGTGTGTGATCGACACTCTCAACTCGCCCACTAAGATCACGCACACGTACGCGCACTCGCATCTTCGTACACGGACACGCTTATACGTACACGCACACGCATGTACGTACACTACAAATATTTAATGGCAGATTAAATGCAAATCGTTAAACATAAAATCTAATGTGGGAACGACCTAGATACTCTAAGAAGGTATATATATATATATATATATATATATATATATATATATATATATATATATATATATATATATATATATATATATATATATATATATATATATATATTTGTAGACTTCCTCATTTCTAAGCTCCCATTTCCATCAGGAAGGCAGAAGCTTCGACAGTAGTGATTTATTATCCACGCCAGAGAGTGAAAGGCTGGAGAAGGTGTGTGGAACCCTGTGAAGCCAGGCGTGTGGAAGCCAGAGGAGCCAGGTGTGTGGAAGCCAGAGGAGCCAGGTGTGTGGAAGCTAGAAGAGCCAATACGTCTGAAACTACCGTCAGATACAACTGACGGAAGTTCCGAAAATTACATTGAACATTAAAAACCTAACACAGAGTGTTTCAAAACGATGGATCCATGATATGTAAAATATATGAAATTGGGTACGTCTCTCTGTTATACCCTGTAATTCGTGGATTCAATCGTATTTTTTTTTTTTTAATTCCAGACACAATCGCGTGTAGGCTTCGAGTCTCTTCAAGATTTATGTAAACCAATTTTGTTTATGGATAGTTTTTTGGAGCTTTCGGTAAAGCCGTTCACTACAGCCTCTGTACCGTGAAAACAGTTTCTACACGAATTACGACTACAGGATCAAACTGATTGTGACGTTCCCTTTTTTTTTGGGTGGGGTGGGGCGGGGTTCTCAAGGCTTTCAGTCAATTAAGACAAAAATTGTATTATATTTCTGTTATGAACAAACAAGTATCACAGAACTCTTATGGCAACAGAAGTACATGGGAATGGTTGGTTGGTTAATGAGGTTTAAAACCTATCGATTATATACAAAGGGTTGTTATGCCTTCACATAAGCCCTTCAACACCAAACAAGAATATTCTAATCCCTTAAAAAAGGGGTTTAAATAAGCTCTCAGGGTACATACACTGAGAGAAATACAGTGCATGTATCCTGTAACGGGAGAGACAGATAGCAGAGGACCTAATAACCCACACAGAGGCTATCTGCTCGACTATCTGCTTTTGTTTGCTTGTAGGTGTATGAGTCAAGGATAGTAAATAAAACGTATCTAAGCACATGAGTCAAGGATAGTAAATAAAACGTATCTAAGCACAAGAGTCAAGGATAGTAAATAAAACGTATCTAAGCACATTAATAGAAAATTATACTCTGATTTTCAAGTGGGTCGTAAAATCTAGCTGGGTTAAGCCAGCGTAGGCTGAAATATTTTAGAGTCATCATTCGAGAGATTCGTGTCAGGAGATGCTTTATAGTGTTTCCTGACGACCAAAACACCACCATCAGAAAGCTGATTTTGCGTGGTCATCCTACTCTGTGGGCTGAGATCCCGTGTTTATATCTTATGGTAACCATTGATAAGTATAATCGTGTGGGTAAAACATGTCATTACCTACCATGACGTGGGTATCACATATCATTACCTACCCTCGTGTGGGTATCACATACC